CAGGCTTAAAAGCCACAACCTTGGCCGAGTCAGGGATGTTGAGGAGTACGTTGAGGCCTTCATCCTTCTGCAGGATCTTTCCTGTGGAAACCCCAAGGACTGCTCAGTCCTGACACTTCCCTGGGGGTGACAGGGGTCCCCTCCTGTCTCCAGGAACCCACAACCCACCAAACACCAGTCTCAGGTCTCCCAGGAAGTGGCAAGAGGACCTTTGCCATCCTCAGGCCCCCACCTTATTCCATGCTCCACCCTCATCGCTCCCCAGGTGTGGGCTGAACACCTGGACTCTGGACCTGCTATTCATGACATCCTCAGAGCATCGTAGGCCAGGTGACCTTGTCCAAATCACACTGACCCTGCCTCTCTGTTGACTTTGACAAGTACTGCACTTCCCTGAGCCCCAGCTCCCCATCTATACGATTGCTAGGAACCCTTCCCACCGTGAGAATCCACAGAGCCAACGTGGGGAAAGCCCAGTGAGAGCCTCACACGCCTGGGGACTCCGTCACTTTCACTCCCGTTGCTTGGCTGCCACCAGCCTCCCTGCTCCCTTGCCCACCACGGCACCCTCCCCGCTCTCCATTTGGTGTCCTCCCCCACTTCCTTATTCCTGGGGCCTTGTGTCTGAGCCTCCTGCCACCTGGGTCTCTTTCTTTTTCCCATCCTGGGCTTCCAGCTTGGTCTTGGGGCCGAAAAGGAGTCCAGTCCCAGAGTGGAACATACCCAACGGGTCTCTGACTTCGATCTCAGGCCCTGGCCCACTCAATGAGACGGTGACCTCCTTCAGGCTGGGGTCAAAGGGGAGTCTCCACGTGTGCTCGCCCTCTTGCTCTTGGTCCGTGAATAACAGGTGCACCTTGGAGGCTTGGATTGCTGACTCCACCCACTTCAGTACCTGGGAGGAAAGTGTGAGAATCTGATGCCAGCAGGTGCCCGTAGCGTCTTGCTTATGTCTGGCCCACCTGAGGCAGGTCCCTAACCAGCTGCCAGCTGTATTCAGAATCTGCTCCCTCCCCCACGGGCTTTAGTATACAAGTTGTCCAGGTCACCCAAGGCCACCCCCCTCCAGGCTGTCCAACACCAGCTCCGATTCACACATTGTTACCCTCCTGGCTTCTGTGGGCTCTGAGCTGTGATGCATCCACAGGACTCAGCTTGGACGGAAGGAGCGAGGGATGTCCATTTGCTGGGAAGACTCTTCCCCACCTGCTCCACCTGGCCAATTTCTATGGCACCCATCACTTCCTCCAGGAAGCCCTCTCGGTGCCTCTTACACATGCAGATCTGGAATCTCCTCCAGACCCCTGTAGTTCACGGCCGCCCCTGAGGGCCTCAGACTGTGCTCCCACCAGGTGCCATGTTCTCTGAGCAATACTGAGACAACCTGCTGCCAACACTCTGAGTTGCCCAATCCACACAAGTGAGGAATTAGTGGCCAGAATTTTCACAATGCTGAGAAATCTTAAATACTTGGTTTCTATAATTGCTATTCATTCTAAAATCTTACACATTTTGGGCAAGTCCCATTGAGAATCAGGTAAAAGGTAAAGACCTTCTGCCTAGAATAGTATATCACTTGGGGACACATTTAGGGTACAATTTCAGGGGGTTATCAAACTCCCTTGAAAACATCCCCCCACCAATGAGTTTATAGACCCTTGATCTAGTCTGAGATGGTATCTCATTGAGCACAAAATTATTTGGTTTCTCCAGTTCCTTACCATATCTTTCAAGACCCTATGCTCTGTGGCCCTGGCCACATGTCCAAGCTAACCCAAGGTCACAGTGCCACTGATTCTCCCCACGCTGTCCTCGCTGGGCCCCCACACCTCCCCAGGCAGCCCCCACCCACACACGCCGTTCTCTTTGCAGGAGTGCCCTGCCCCCTCCTCATCAACCAACTCCTGCTTGGTCTTCACCTGTCAGCTTGAAGGGCCTCTCCAATCCCGAGCAGGCTCTGTCCACTCCCTGCTACGTATTTCTCTGCAGCGTTCTGCACCCCAGTCGTTCACACTTATTAGATTCATGCCTCTCTTCCCTACTGGCCTGAGAGCTCCGTGGGGGCAGAGACCCACGTGTCTCAGCCACGAACTCTCTGGCCGGCCCAGAGCAGGTACTCAGGAAGTGCTTATTCACTGTGGGTGAGTATCGTAGGACATGCACCTCCTGAACAGGGCCACCAGGTTCACCACAGGTCCACCTCTCAGATGTCACTCAGTCCTGCTCCCTTCCCCAGCTCACGCTTCCTCTTTTGCAATAGCCACATCTCCCAGGTTCCAGTGAGGAAACCAGTAAAGAGGGAGAGGAAAAGGGCCTTCATGTCTGGACCTTCTCTTTCCAGGCCAAGTTACTCAAGAATTGTCCTGTGCAGACCCTAAAACTGAAAGAAAATGCACCAGATGAACCTGGCTGTACAGATTGGCACCATAACCACAGAGAGAAAAGTGAATCCGAGTGAATTCAGAACCCAGAGGCTCAACTAGACTTTCTCGGAGGGAGGTACCCTGAGGACAAAATGAACTACAAAGAAATCTTTCCCTAGTAGTTGCAAGGTGGCAGAACTGTCAGCACTGTGGTTTTGAAGCTATTTTATGTATCTTACAGGATAAAGCAAATAAGCAAAAATGTTAGCATTTTCTGAATCAAGATTTCCTCTTATAACTAAATATGAGAAAGCTGCAAGTGTATAATCAAATAAACTAAGTAAAAAATCTGCAATGTGAAATCTGAATTAGAAGTAGTATAAATGTTCTTTTTTCTTTTTGACCAGTAAGGGGATCGCAACCCTTGGCACGGTGTGGTCTGCACCACGCTCAGCTAGTGAGCGCACTGGCCATCCCTGTATAGGATCCGAACCTGCGGCCTTGGCGCTCCCAGCGCCGCACTCTCCCGAGTGAGCCATGAGGCCAGCCCAGTATAAATGTTCTTGATGATAGAAAGATAGATAAGAAGGAATGATGTCCCCAAATCTCAATACCAGTGATCACCCCTACTACCCAGATTTTGGTTTCTAAATACCATTCCCTACTAGGGTTCCTTG